AAAAGTTTTGTACTTGTAGATATTTGAAGCCAGACCTTTTTTAGGGTGCTGATAAATGTTAAGTCCATTTCCAAAACAAAAAGAGAGACCACATAATTCATTGGATTCTTGAAGTTGGCAAGCATTTTATAACAGCATGTTGAGTTAAAAAGCATTAAGCACCAACATCCCCCACATGAAGTGAAAAAAAATGACGTCTAAAATAGACTATAAGTTCAGCGTTCACATTTGAAGTTTTAAACGTAAAAGAGGAATTGAAAGCTTACCTTCTCGGAAACCTTATTACTTCCACCATTCAATAGCTCTGGAGCCATCCATGGAAGCGTTCCCCTGACACCACCAGTAACCAAGGTATTTCTCTTGATTTTTGACAGCCCAAAATCAGCCACCTACACAACACAATTTCCATCAGTTTTGCACTGATCCCTCTACGGTATCTTTGTTGTCCTTTAGTTGATGAAGATTTAAGGGATTGTTTGGTAGATGTATTAGAAGAAATAATGCATGCATTAGCTTTGTGTATTAGTAGTACCTTGTTTGGTACACTTTTTGAACCTATGTATAGCTAATGATTGCATTAGTTATACATTCTATTGTGTATTGAGTGTATTTTCCTACGAATACATGGAAATTCATGGTATTAGTAATGCAAGAGGGTTCAATGTATGCATTATCATGGTTAAAGACCCAATCGCCCCTCAACTTTTTTTTACATGTTATCACCATACTTGTGGAGGGTATCTTTGTAAATAATTTTTAAAAAAAAACTATACAATACATACTATATTTAATACACCAAACAAAACAACGCATAAGCAATAATGCAAGCACAACTAATTCAAGCATTACTAATACACTCTATTCAACATTATTCTTATACATCCTATCAAACGATCCCTAAGGGGTCGTTTGGTAGAGTGTATTAAAATGAACAATGCATGCATTAGCCTTGTATATTACTAGTACCTTGTTTGGTACTCTTTTCCAACCTATGTATAACTAATGCTTGCATTAGTTATACACCCTATTATGTATTAAGGTGTGTATTGTTAATACCATGGATTTCTATTCTAGGTATTAGCAAGGCAATGGTTTTAATGGATGCATTAATTCAATCAAAGACCCAATTGCCCCTGAATACCTTTATTATAGCTTTTCCATATCTTTGTAAACAATTTTTTTTAATGCAATGCATTCTATAAATAATGCATAAAAATAATCTAATGTATAAGAATCTAGCCAAGGAAGCAGTTTTGATATTGGATAATGTGGCCAAGAGAGGAATCTCTCTATGCAACAGATGTTCCTTTTGTGAGAAGGCTAATGAGACAGTGAGACATCTCTTCTTATATTGCAACTTTATTGGGCAGCTGTGGCAGATTTTCCTTAATCTCATAGGCATAACTTGGTGTACGCCTAGCAAAATTGATGAGACTCTATTCGGTTGGGAGATGACTGGAGTTGGGGCTACAAACAGAGAAAGATGGCAGATGAACCCTGCTAGTATTTGGTGGACTATATGGAGGGAGAGAAACGAGAGATGTTTTGAGAATAGGAACAACGACCTGCAGGAAGTTAAGCTTAAGTGTATTCTATTATTCTGCTTTTGGTGTACAAATGTCTACTCTAATGAACTGAGTCAATCATAGATGTTTTAGGATCCATTTAGATTTGGTTCAGTTTTTTAGATAGATTATACTTCCTTTCTGCTTTTGCAAATATGGTTTTTCAGTACTACCTAAGTACTATGTGAAATACAATGTTACCAGTTCCAAAAAATAATCTATGAATAATTAATGCAAGCATAATTAATGCATGCATTACTGTTGCAATAATTGCTAATACACTATTTAGCATTATTTTTATACACTACCAAACGACCCCAACTGTCATAATAAACTTGTACCAAGTATGAAGAGGCTGTTTGATGTTCGGGGCTAGGAACTGTTTATGCATTCATTAAGCTAGTAATCCAGAAAAAAGTAAAAAGCCAACCTTAGATCTAGAAAGCATGCACCAATTACAGAAATCACATTATTATTAGGTATTGAGTCCTTCTGTGGTATTCCACCTGTTGCTTGGTTTAGGTCTACATTATTATTAGGCATTATGAATCCTCGTGGGATTTCACAGGGTATGTTGTTGTTGTTGTTGTTGTTGTTGTTGGATGGTTGTATCACCAATCTGGCAATAATAGCTTGGACCATGGCAGGATTAACTGCCTTTTATATGTTTTGGATGTACTGTACTTTCGAAGGGTATTACTAATATATTGGTTAATACGCTGAATATGATCATCAGACTCGAATGCTATAGAAAGAAAAAGCATATTGTCACATTTCAAATCAAAACCAGCACATTCTTGCAAATGCAGAATCCATTGAAAGAACTCAAAGCAGCACATTCTTGAAGGTCACCTTACAAATGGGTCGAGAAGGATCCTTTAAGTTGACAAGCAAATTGTCACATTTCAGATCAAAATGCACAATATTCTTCGAGTGCAAATATTCCATTCCAAATGCAGCATCCATTGCAATTATGAGCCTCTTGCGACGATCAAGGTGTCTGGACAGTTCAAGTAGGGAGGAGAACGTAATAAGTTTTCATGAAAAAAAAGAGAAAACAGAGAGAATATTTTAAGAAGTGTACTATCCAGTATTACCACACCTGTCCTTGCAAAGTAAAACATGTCTAAGAGAACCATTCACCATGAACTCTGCTACTGTGGCAAGAGTCCCTCCTGGCCCATCTTTCACTACACCATAAAATGCCACCACATTGGGATGATGAAGTTTTGAAAGAATTTCAGCTTCACGCCAAAACTCCACAGTCTGGAAATAGTTCCCAAGTTTTATCACGAAATAGCTAGAGGAAAGAAAGCAGAAACATGACCAATATATGTACTTAAAAGCTCCTACTTACCAGTTAAAAGGTGTACTTTTAACCAACAAAATCTATGAATTCAAAAGCATCTATAAGTTTTTCATTTTACAAAATTCTTAACTGCAATAAAGCTCTCTACCTGACTCTTTTTAAACTGCAACAAAAGCCATTTCAAGTATGTATATAGTAGCTTGGAATAATATCAAGTATCAATTAGGTGTACAATTTACGTTTAATCTCATTAATCAAGAGTCAACATGAAAATACTTCACAGCTTCTACCACGGTATAGACAGTGCAAACAGTATGGTTTTTCTACCAAGGGCAACACAACATTCTTTTTGGGGATTTTTGTTCAACACCAACATTACTGAAGTGTTCGAGTGGTGGATATTTCGGGGATTTTGGGCAAAAGGATTGCCTCGTCATCTCCCAACTAGGAGATGATTGGGCTGATATTTTATAACTATTGACCTTCTTCTAGTTTAATCTTAATAAGTGCAGTTTAAGATGAAACTCACCAATCTCTCCTGCTCTGATGACCGACCTGTGAAACAGCTTTTTTTAATTCTCTTGATGGCAACGTCAGTCCCTCTCCATTTTCCATGATATACGGTCCCAAATGTTCCAGAACCTAATTCCTTTAACTCTTCAAGATCTTCATTACTGATTATCTATAACGGAACGAAAGCAAGTTAACAACAAAGATTGACAGAAAGAATAGCTACAAGTACCCATTTAAGCCCTAACTACTTTTAAAGATGTTTGATTGACTATAATGAATGTACATTAAAAAAAGTGGCTATAATGAGCGTATGAGAATAGACTAATAAAATGTAGGAAACAATCTATATACAAGCCATATGCAGAAACAAAAAGCAGTAAGAATGCCAAGCCCTCTCCTCCCCAACCCCAACCAACCTCCCACAGAACACACAATCAAAACGAGAATACAATCCGCCACTTCACTGGCTCCTTTATTTTCTTGGGATGCTTATGAAGTTTGGAATTTTCTAGGTTTCGTCAACCTTCCATTCAAAGAGACCTCCCGTGTGATAATTACCGATTTTTCGTTCCCCTGTACAGCAATACAACTGATGTGCCTACCATGTTCGTTGTATTTAATAGTGCAAAAGAACGCGGTCCTTCACTTTCCACCTATTTACTGTGGTTCTTTGTTATTTGGAAACCGTCTTAACTACATATACTATTCACTGCCAAAGGCTAATATACTTGCCTCATTAAACCTCTGGTATGTTCAATTCAGTTGAATCATATTTCTACCCCCGAGTAGTTTCTGGTAATATCATAGAACTTTTTTCTTTTTCTTTTTAATTGGATATCATAGACCTTAAAACCAGCATTGTAATAGATCCGCCTTTCCCATGATGTAAAATAATGGAACCTGAAAAAGATTCTGGTCAAAACTACTGGAATATCCCCATGAGTAGTATATCTGATTCAGTTGAAAGACTAAAGAAGGTCAGTCTCGGGAAAAGTGCCTGAGCATTTTTTCAGAAATTTAGCATTAAGAAAGGGTGATGTATTATAAGTAAATAATTAGTGAAGTAGCATCATTCGTCTCCTCTTACTTACTTCCAAGTACTTCTTTCCAAAAGTAGCCTTCTTTCTCTTTCTAATTATCAGGCATCTATTATACCTATATCCAACCACCAATAAAAATACATATTTCACCATGAAACAAAAGATAATAAAAATTACTAGCTAGTGTCCACAGTACCTGCAAAGAGCTGGGATCAAAGTCTCCAAGCGGGAGATTGGTAAGCGGAAAGCCAGCATTCTGAGCTCCTTGGTTCTCATCCTTCATGTTATATAAAAGGATTTACTTCACCATATTAGCATGTTGGAAAATACAACAATTTCAAACTGAAGCAAAATAATGCAGCTAGAAACCTGAACTACTAAAAAATACCTGATAACCCGATTCAGGTACTTTTGAACTCAATTCAACATCATACTGCATACTTTCAACGTCAGTGATTTGAGAAGGGTTGTACCCAGAAGGCAAATCCATGGTGTCTGGGACAACAATTTCAGGAGATGCTTGCTGGAATTCAGCTTCAATATTGAGCTGAGAGTCCATATGATCTATCATTGCTCCATCACCCTTGAAAGGAGGATAGCCATAATCCATAGACACCCCATCATCAACATTTGCACGAGTAGAAGACACACAAAGATGATCCTGATCCATCAAAGAGACATTTCGTCTATCAAAATCACCTTGAGCTATCTTTTGGAAAAAGGACCAGTTCTTTGGTTCATGGTTCTCCATATTCAAGCTCAGACCAGTTCCATCACTGTACAGTGGGGCAGGTACTGGTGAGGCATCCATAAGCTTGGCTTTGGAAAATATATCAGCGAGAAAATCATGGGGAAAGCGGTCATTAATGTCAAAAAGAATGCTTCCATGCTCAAGTGTACCAACAGTACCAGAGGGTATCCCTGTGGAGACTGCTGCTCCAACCTGACACTCTTTCTCAGCCAAAGAGTTTAGTTGCTCTGCTTCTTCATTTCCCTCGGCTCTATGTGAAGATGCATCGCCCCAATGAAGCTCTGTCTTCCTGGAAGCAGACTCAGCCTGGATATTATTACTTAAGATAGGATCACTTAGTCCAGATTTCACTTTCTCTGCATAAGTTGCAGCTTTCAGCTCAGGCTTATAATTTGCTTCAGAAAGTTCTCCACTAAACTTGGTATCAACTTCTCTGGCACTGACACTTAACCCTTGTGATTCCTGAAGTTTTACCCCTTTATCTGCAGTAGCATGTAGATTAGCAGACAAAGATCTTCCAGAAGGTACAAAATGCTCAGTCTGGGGAGCCACATTCCCATCGTTCAATTTATTAACGGATTCTATGATCTGTTGTGAGCCTTCAGAATATGCATGGGCCATTATGAATTGCGAGGCAGCAGAATCATCAGATTTGGATAAACGATTAAGGCCGGGCTGTTCCCTGGGTATCCATTCAGAGCGAAAAGTTCGTGGAGGAATCGATGGTTGTTCGTAGCTAATGTCATGTGGGTTTGCCCCCGAGTCTCCATAGCCAGAATTTGATATTCTACCAGATCCGGAGAAGCCATCTTCTGTGAACCTATCAAGTTTTTCTTCCTGAACAGCAACAGGAGATGCTGAACTCTGAACTTCTTCCTGACTCTTCTCATTAATTTTAGATTGCATAACATCGTTTCCAACAACTGCCGAAGCAGTGAAATTCGGAACTTCAACTCTAGAAACGTGACTTGAGGCGGAATCATTCAGTGGGTTCGAGGAAACAACTTTTTTGCATTCCAAAGGCCACAATTTTTCAGGCTCATTTATTTTCTGAAAAGAGCTTTCTACCTTTATATTTCCCTCCTCAGGCACTTCCTTCTCTCGAGGTTTTGCTTTACTAAGTTCAAAAATCTCCCGGGGATAGTTATCTCTTTTCAGATTCACTACTGTGGCATGTGATTCTTGGTCATTCATATGTGAGCTCTCGTAAGACTGCTTGGGATCGATGCCTCCTTTCCAGTTCATGTAACCATGACTCGAACTTATAAGAAAGTTATTTGTAAGTTGTGAAGAGTTGGGTAGTTGATAACCATGGTTATACTGCACTTGCTTAGATGGAAGAACCAGGTTTTTGCCACCTACACCTGGAAAGTTGTCAACTGGTATGGAAGAGGGTAAAGGTTGCCATTCAGTGCCACCATGATGTACAGTTTGACCCAAGTATTCTAGTTGATTGGAGTCATGCCCCAAGTTTGACCCAAGTATTCTATGTGATGAAATTGATACCCCTTCATGAGCAGATTGACTTGTTAGAGGCATGCCAATGACTGGATCAGAAGTATCAGCCCCTGCCACATGCCTAGCAACTTGACCATCCTCCCCAGCAATTGTTGCACTCAGAAACTCATCCAGGTTTTTTTCTGAAGTGCTTGCCAGAGCAGTGGAGTTTCTTCTTGAACCAAAGTCCATGTTATTTACAGCAATAACATACTGCATTTCTGGATCTCCTTCAATATTCTCCAAACCAGCCAGAGAATCATCCAAGTCACTGTAAGAAAAGAGAAATGTACGCAATTTTTGTGATCCATCACCTTCTAATACATTAAATTCCTCTATCATATTCTGCAAGTCTTCATCACAAGAAACTGACACTAATGCATCAAGATCCTCACCAGGAAGCTGATATTTTATTGTGTGACAATTGTTAAATAAAGTTAACATCTTTTGCCAGAATTCCTCCCAAGAAACATCATTTCTTAAACGGACGAGGTGCGTATCACCTCCAATATATCTAAGTTTCCCATCACTTGGACGAGGCATAATTCTACCACCAAAACTGCAGAGGAACTTCAACTTTGTTAATGTACTAGATCTAGAAGACATTTGACTTTGAATTCCATGAATGTTGTTATTTCTTGATAAGGCTCTAGTTTCAGTTTGCACAGCTTGATGGTTGCTTATACCTTCATTTACAGAAGTAGACCTCCCGTGATGTTGAACTCGAGTTTTTCCAACTGAGGTGATCATGGCGATATCTGATCCACTTTCAGAACCTGTATGAGATATTCCACTTTTGTCCTTCAGGTCCATACAAGAAGTTGCACCAGCAGTACCCCCTGAAGCATGAGGAATGAGGTTCTGCTTTGGGTTAACTCTTTCGCGCATGAATTCCAGAGCAAACTCCTCGCCAGTCTGAATGGAATAGTTCATTACAGGTCTAGCTGCAACTGGTATAGTGAAATCAGGAGGTCTTATGTCTGTATTGATAGAACTTGATGGATCCTGGAAAAATTTCTGGTTTGAAGAACCAATGACCTCTGCTCTAGTGTCTATAGAACTATAACGAGCTTGTTCAAAGTTATTTTGCTCAAAATCTCTATCCATCTTAGGTTTTACCCCATAAGGAGACTTCAGATCCATGAAACAGCAACCAAGTAGGCACTTTCAATCACACCGGCACACTTCATTCTCAGTAGGATGTTTTAAAAAGAAATGAGTAATAACTGATATTATTTAGATTTTTTAAAGGTGAACATTGATCTAGCAGTTGGGTAGCAGAAGACCCTAGCCAATAGGACAGATGTGCTTTAGCTAATCTCGCTTTAGTAATCCTAACTGAGGACTTCTAATGATTTACCCTGATCTTTCCCTTTTCAGATAACATTTGATCCTCGCAAAGAGCTACAACCTGCACAGTGCACACCAACATTTAGTCAATCATCATTAACCAAAGAAAGTTAAGGTTTGACATGTTACATGTCCTAAGCAAGGTAACATGCATTAATATATCATTCAAAATATAGCTACCTTCCTAAAACTCAACCTCAAGGTCAAAACTTCTTTGCAGTCCGTAACATTGTCATCAAGTAGAGTCACTTCACACAATCCAGCTTGTACCAAGCCAAGATAAAAAAAAATACTCTTAAGAAATGCATCAAATACAAACCAAGTAGAGAATACATATGAATTACATTCTTAATTGGTGATAAAGAAGGTCAAGATCACATGTTCATTTATGGTCGGTGCAAACATCTTGTACTGGTGAGTTTTTTCCGCCGAAAAATCCTCTCAAACTTTAGTTTTCTTCCAAAAGGAATTATTATTTGCCAATCAAGATCAACTAAATGAAGAGAGTGTCTAACATTGTAAAATAACATATCAGACACTTTTTTGTAAAATAACATATCAGACACCCTTTTTTCTAACAAGCCAGATTTCATGACTCCTAGCAGGACACACTACACTTGATGATCAAGAGAACTCCGGAGAAGATGTTTTAAAGAAAACCCAATCCAATGCAGCCTTTGATTTCCTTGTTTTATTTTCCTCACTCTTTTAACCTCCACAGCAAGTAATTCCATTTTTTTACTACCATTACTAAAGTTTGAACTTATAATCTTTGAATAAACTAAAAAATGAGGTCCCGTAATGTTTTTCTACAATACTGACTCTATAAAATCTTTAGCACAAGATCTACTTCCACCAACACTTTAAGGCTGTTATGAGGTAAGCCAAATTGAAACCTTTACCACCTCAGTTCAACTCAACTGTTTAAGACTTGGCATCACGGTGCGCCTCAAACTCGATAAAACAATTATCAAGCACTTAAATAAGCAAGTCCAAGTAGAGAGGAACAATAATATAAGGTTCCTGTAAACGATCTCAACCAGTTCAACATTGACACCGACATAGTCAATCAAATGATCAAATTCCGCAATAAGATACTCAAAAATCAATATTAGATATCCGAAACCCAAATTTTCAGTTGAATCAAGCTAAAATACAAAATAATGCAAAACTTCAAATTTCAAGCCAAAAAGAATATGAAATAAGCGACTAAACAGTTTACCGTAATAGATAGAAGTTGTTATCACAAACAGCTGTTGACCCTAGATTTAATCGGCGGCGGCGGCGAGCAGCGGCGGAAGCAAATCGGCGAACGGAACTGAAAGATATTGAGAGATCTCTGGTGTTTTGCCGTAGTTAAAAAGAGTCAAATGTGGACTTGTTTGTGAAATATGGGGACTAATGAAACAATTTGCATTAAGGCCATTAAGTACGCTTAAAGAATGGTACTTTTTCATTGAGATCTGGTACCTTTTTGGATAAAGTATCCTTTTGTCCCACTCAAATACTTCGGCTGTTTGAGGTTTGGTAGAAATCAATTCTAACGAAAAATCAAATCAAATCAATTAGGTAAGTAACTTTTTTATGGTACTGATTTTATTTTGTTAAAAAATGAAGAAATTATTGAATTGAATCGATCCAACAAATTATATCATTTTTTATAATTAGTTATAGGGATAATGTATAAGTACCCTCACAATGTCAGAGACATACTTATATTATACTAAGGTTTCATTATTCCTCGACTTATTTTATTAATAATTTTCTATCCCTTTTCGGTCTACGTGACACTATCGTGTGGGCCCAACGATGGTTGACTTTTTTCTTCAAGCTATTGTCAACGTAGGTCGAAAAGGGGTATAAAATTACTTATAAAATAAGTTGAGGGGTAATAGGATCTTAGTATAGTATAAGTGTGTCTATGGGATTTCGGACATAAGTTGAGGAGATACTTGTGCATTTTCCCTTATTTATATACTAATAAAATTATTCACGCTTTGCGCGAGACTTTGATACCACGAAATATATATATATAATAATACTTAAAACCTATCAGCTACTAAAACTAAATCACTATATTATCTTATATAAAATATTAATAATGTAATGAAAAATGAAAATTATTACATCTTTATCATTCATCATTAATAACATAAGAATATGAATTTCATTATATGCTGATGAATGCACTATTAAGGTTGATAGGATATCATTTGCAAGAGTGCTAGTTGAAATGGATATGTAGCGAGGGAATTGCCAAAGAAACTCAAAGTGGAGGATCCAAATGGGAGGGCATTCGATCAATATGAGTAGATTCCAGAATATTGTTCTAAGTGTATGCAGTTGGGCACATAAGTGTACTACGAAAGAGGGGAACCAATACAAAGCAATTCCTAAAGTGATGAATAAATGGGTTCCGAAGCAGGATAAAATGGCAGAGGGAACACAAATAATAAATGGAGAAAAGCACAAGGGGAAGAAGAAAGTAAGTGAAGAGTAAGAAGTTTGGCAATAGGTATCTCCAAGTGCTAGAGGAGGCTCGAATGTTATGATAATGTATCAAGGCTTAGGATAACAAATGTTTTGGAACATTAAAGAGTATGGAACATGGATCAGCAAGTGCATTGGAGGAAACTGAAATAGGAGTAGACGAGGATGGAGACTTTCAAAAAAGAGTTGCATGAAATTAGACACTTGGAATACAAGAGAAATAAATAAACTTCATAAGCAAAAGGAAATTAAATTGTTTATGAAGGAGAATAAGGTAGACATTATAGTACTATTAGAACATAAAATAAAGGAGCAAAAGCCAGAGAAAATAATACAAAAAATAGCTCAAGGTTGGAAATGGGAAACAAACTATGAACACACTGATAATACAAATATGGCTATTGTGGAATCCTCAGGTGATCGATTGTGTGCTTTTGAGCAAATCATATCAATATATACATAGGGGGTAGTAGTGAAAAGGAATAACATGATATTTTGTTTGCTGGTCATTTATGGGTTACATACTATTAATGAGAGGTTAAAGTTATGGGAAGAGCTAGGTAAAATGGTGTCTAGTACGCAAGATTCTTTGATATGTAAGGGGGACTTTAATGCAGTATTAACAGGAGAAGATAAAATATATGGTAAGCCAGTACAGGAGATGGAAATAAAGGATTTTAATGATTTCATGGTTGATGTAGGAATGACAGAATTGAAGGCAATAGGAAGAGGATATACCGGGTCAAATGGGTGTACATGTAGTAAAATTGATCGTGCAATGATGAATGCTGAATGGATGTTGAATATGAGACAAAGAGAAATTTGTGTAATGCAACCTGGCACTTTTGATCATTCTCCACTGAGTATGGAGCTAGACAGTACTAAAGAAGTCAATCAAGAAGCCATTAAATTCTTCAATTGTATGACTAATCATCATGAATTCTTACATAGGGTGAAAGATGCATGGAGCGGTGGACAGAACAGGGATTTGAAGGAAGTATGGCATACACTCAAGAAGGTGAAATAAAACACTAAACACCTCAACAGTAGAGAATTTATTGGGGTTAGAAACAAGGTTCAAGATATTAATGGAAAATTGCATATAATATCGGAGAAAATGAGAGATCCAGCAGAAGTTTGCCATAATAGACAACTGGGAAAAGATTTTCAAGCTCAGCTAGAGAAATGGAGTATGATTGCAAGAGAGCGATATGCAATAGAAATCCAGAATTCAATGGTTGAGGCTAGGTGATGTAAATATTGCATATTTCTATACACACATGAAGAATAGGGTGGTCCAAAATACTATCACAAGCCTTATGACACCGTATGGTACTATAGTCTAGACACAAGAAGAAATAGAGCTTGAAGTGAGTACATTCTAAAAAATCTTCTTGGGAAGGCTTCTCTGGAGTACCAAGTGTGAATATTGTATTGTAAGAAATGATAAGTTTCTTAATAGAAAACAACAAATGTTACTAGAAGTTGAGATGACAAGGGAGGAAGTCGAGATGGCACTCAAAGGTATGCAGGATATGAAAGCTCTAGGATTGAGAAAGCCTGGACAGTAATAGGTGAGGATATAGTGAATGCAGTATTAAACTTCTTTGGTACAAGACACATATATGAGACCATTAACTGTAAAGTGGTGACCCTTATTCCAAAGATTGCTAATCCTACTAAGTTCGTGGAGTACATGCCTATCTCATGTTGCATAACTTTATACAAGATCGTTTTCAAAGTAATTACCACAAGGTTGTAGAAGGTGATGAGTTCACTTGTAGATCCAAATCAATTAGATTTTGTATTAGGTAGAGCTATAAATGATAATATTATTCCGAGTCATGAATTAGTAAAGGGGTATAGCAGGAAAATATTTTTAATAGATGTATGATTAAGGTGGATACGAAAAAGACTATAACTCCATTACATGGAGGTTTTTGGAGCAAGTATTATATGAATTGAAAGTTTTCAGAAAGACTGATTAAGTGTATATTGCAATGTGTTACCACTGATACCTGTTTAACTCAGTCAATGGGAAGTATACAAGACCATTCAAAGCTCAAAAGAGGGGTCAGAAAAAAGGATTCTTTTATTCCCCTTTCTATTTGTATTGGCAATGGATTATCTCACTGGGAACTTAACAAGTCTACTCTCAAATTATGATTTATATTATCATCCAAAATGTCTTAAGCAGAGAATTATATAACTGAGTTTGTGTTAATGATTTGTTGATGTTTTGTACAGGCGATAACAAGCCAGTCAGGAGTCTATATGACTGTTTTATGGACTTCTCTAATGAATCAGGGTTGGTGGAAAATGAGGATAAAAACAGTGAGTACTTTGTTGGGGTAAAGCAGGCAATATAGGACCAGATAATACAGGAACTAAAGTTTGTAAAAGGTGAACTCCCATTTAGATACTTGAGAGTACCTTTGAGTACTAAAAGGGTCACTATAGTGCAATGTAAACCTGTTATAGATAAAATGTTGAGTAGAGTAACTTGATGTACCACTAAATTCCTTTCTTATGTTGATAGAGTTCAATTGGTGAAGAGTGTCCTATTCTCAATACAAACATTTTGGGCACAAATATTTGCTCTCCCTACAAAGATTTTACATGCCATTGAGAGTATCTGTAGGAAGTTCTTGTGGACAAATGTAGAGGCATCAAAGAAAGAATTAATAGCGTGGGAACAACTATGTTGGCCCAAGAAAAATGGAGGAATGAATTTTCTAATGTGTTCATCTGGAACAATGCTGCTATAGGGGAACTCCTCCGGAAGTTATGTAAGAAGAAGGACAAGTTATAAGTGGTGTGTATACATAGCTATTATGGGAAGGATGGAATATGGGGCATCCAAACAAATCAAGCATCTTGACTTTTGCAGAGAATTGTTAAAGCATGTAAACATTTAGAAGTTGTTGCGTGCAATGAATAAAGCTTGACACAGATGGAGCATTATGTGATTAAATAGATTTATGAAAAGATGAGAGGAAATAGGAAGAAAGTTGAATGGAAAAGACTGATATTGCCAAATTTTACCTATCTTTAGAAAAATCACTTTTTGAAATGTTCTAAGTATAGAATAATTTTTTGAAAACTACTTAGAAAGAGTCAGCACTTAATTTTTAAAAAAAATCAAGAAAACTTAATTTATAAAGATTTTAACAGATTAAATCTTTATACATTTAGAGAAAATGGGTAAGCGGTTCTTATTTACGCTTCACGAAGATTTTTAAGGCATTTGAAGCGTCCCCTAACATGCGGTTATCCTACGACTTAGGTTAAGTATTTTTGACTATTTTTTAGGAAAATAATTTGATATAAACATAATAATATTAATTTAAAATATATGACTAACTTAAGAAAATAATTAAAAGAAAAATTAGTTTTTCAAGGAAATGGGTAATTAGTTGAAACATTTAATTTTTTTAGAAAATGAGACCCTTAATGAAATTTTTGAATTTTAACAAAATTAGAGAATGGGACCTTAATTGAAATATTTAATTTTTAATTAAAAGTAATTAGAATTTTAACAAAAACTATATTAATTGGAAATTATTCCAATCATTTTAGAAAAATATATAATTTGAACTTAAATCATTTTAAATTGATCGGAGAGTAAATTGAGTTAACATTTTGAGAAAATGACTAAAGTAAGGAAAGAAAACCATTTTTTAAGTTTAATTGAGAACAAACATCTTAACTTAAAAACACTTTTAAACTAAGTGAAAATGTGTTAGGTGATTTAATTAAAGAACATGTCTTTTTTAAGAACAAATAGATTTAATTCAATTAATGACATAAAATTTTATTAGTAAAAAAAAAGTATCAAAAGTAAACCAACATAACAAAACTAACTCATCTTTTGGGAAATCTAATTAAGTTAAATAAAATAAATTATGGTTAGA